TTACAAGCTGATGTAGGAGAGTCAATGGCTACAACACTCCAGAATCCGTCATTCGCAGAAGCTCTGACCCTCTCAGCAGTGCTTTGCAGATAACTTTACATTACCAAGTGACCCGGAGATGTCACTACATGAAGTGCAACCTCCTAAAGTCACATTCAGGTGCAATTAAAAAATATGCAAAAGGCTAAATCCAGTGAGGATGTAGTAGACAGGTCAACCTTAATAGATGCACTAGCACTAAGATTACACCATATTTATACCCATTCCATCAATGTCTGAGGTGATTTAGGTTAGTACAAATGACACACAGAGGAGTTATAAAGTAGTATAAATTATAATAGCCCTTATCCTACTTTAATTAACATGTAACACATCCCTTATTCCATTTTTTGGATTGGGGTCAGCAACCTATAGCTCATGTGGTAGATCCAGCCCACCGAGCCCTTGGATCCGACCTGCAGAGCTTTGCAAGCATTTGGTGGTGGAGGGCTCTGCCTGAGTTGTAATGCAGCTTGGTGGAGAGCGGAGGACAAGGAAAAGTGGCGGAAATGTCCAGGTCCTAATGCAAGGTAATCTCAAACTCGAGCTGATCATTCCCTCCCCTTTCAGAAAACACTGCCAACCCCTACTTTAGATAAGTCGAGTGGGGAAAAAATATGAAACAGTCTAACTGAATGCCTATCACACATCCATTTATCTTGGAACCAAGAACAGAGGTTTTTCTGGGGAATTTGGCCTGGCATGTCTCCAGAAAGGGCAGCAGAACCAAATTCCCCAGAAACCTCCTCACCTCCTGCTCACAGTGCCGGATGCACTATTTGTCCTGCCTTCCCTAACATAAACACAGAGCTAACCCAGATATAAAAAAACCCCCATGGTTCAGGAATAAAACCCTACTAGAAGAAAACAGTACAATGTACACAGAATTCTTCCCATTGGGAGAGGGGAACAAACAATGCAGAGACACATCAGTCACACTGCTTAATCCACTCCTGGAAGAGGTTCAGATACTATGAAAACAGTATTACGAACTTCCATCCAAGTCCAGACAACACACAAACCAATCAAATACTTATTAAAAGATAGCTGATGCAAATGATCCTCTTTCTTTTAAGTGGCTGGTCACTGTTACCAATGATACAGATTTTTTTCAGATATTGCATCAAACACCCAATTGTTCAGCCATGCAGTGGAGTTGGTCACATATGAGTTTGTGCATTATTTCTGAATTTGAAACAGAGAACAAAATTTGCCTAAGGGAATTTGGCATGGTATAATCTTGAAGAGATCAATAGTTCTGTATTTTGGGCACGCTGAACCTGCCAGACGTCTGAGTTTTATCTGCCCATACATGCTACTGCAGCCAAACCCAGATGTTCACAGTCTTTGACAATGTTCTCGACGTATAATAGGAGGTACAATAATCATGAGAGGACAAAAGCACTGAAAAGTACACAAGGAAAGACGCTAACCTCATTCACATGCACAGAATGGGCAGAGATAAATGACAGCTCAGACTACAAAAACATGTTTATACTTTTAGAAACTGCAACTAAGCACCTGTATACTGCAGTCTGTCTATAACAAACTGATTACACTCTATGCTGTTAACGGGGTCAGACTGAGACTAGTGACTCCAAAGAGATGATAGCAGCATCATTTAGCCTTACTTTAACACATGGCTAGAATAAAAGATCCACACAGTTATTACAATGCTGTTAAACTAAGCTAAACTCACAATACAACTGTCACTGATTTGGAACCACTTGGTCTCAGTCTGTCAGAATACTCTTCTCCCTCGCAAAATACATAATAATTTCATTTAAAATCATCTATTTCCATGAAAGCTTCCCAACGTGAAAAAAGCTGATGCAGTTCCTTCCTGCTTACTGATGTAGTAAACCTATTGAGTGATTTCTTATCTGCAGCAGCACCAACCACATTTTTAAAACTAGATTTCTGAGCACCTCATTTTCTTCTTGGATCATGCTGTACTCGCAGATACTTGCATTTTATATGCATCACTTTCTAGGAAAGATCAACTTCAGAAAGTAAAAAAATATTTTTCAATCTGGTTTTAAGCAAAGCCATGCCATTTCAGTTCACCTGTTTGTGGGATACTGTGGAATGAAAGGATATGAAAGTATGTAATCAGGCTTCCGTATCAGTAATGATATAATGTGGCCTTTTGAAATTCTTATGGGGAGGGAATCTTGATGGTGGGTGATTCTTTCTCAAGAAGATGCTAAACAGCAGTATCTAGTCTGAGAGAGGCCTCTTTAAAAATGAAGAATAAGACCAAGACCCTGATTAGAGTGGAATGGTACTTTTTCAATCATTAGTAAAGTCACTGAAAAATTGAGTTCTACAGAGACTAAAACATGTGACTTTATCTCAAATTTGTAAAACAGCTTTGGTTAAAAAGAAAAAAGCCAGGGAATTTTTAAAAGTGCCATAATAGGTTCATTGCAACTTTTCCAACACATGTCAATGATAAATGAAGCAAACCAATTACATATCTTACCAAATCATAGTTCTATTTTAATTTGCCAATTATTTTTTAAATATTTTGTGGTACTCTGATAGCAAAGTCAAGTAGTCTAGTGCCTAGCAGAAGTAGCAACTATAGATAGATAGTTACATCTTGCATTATACCCAACAACCTTGCTCACCCTCATCAAATCAATTTCTTTCATTCTTCTACCTGTCAGGTGAAAAAACTTTTGTTCCGTGTTGACACTATGGGTTCCACACTTGGGTGGCACCTCTCCAGCTATCCTAGTGCAGTACAGTGCCAATTTTCCCATTGCAAACTCACAAGTATTGATGTTACAGAGCTCTACACTAGTGATCAGTTCTGATTGACATGAGCGGTCCTGTTGACTTCAGAGGATTTGCTCAAGTGAACAAGGACAAAGGATTGGATTTCAATTCTTGGGTTGAACAGGTGCCATTGCAGGCAATGGCAAAGATCCATTGACTCCAGTGGTGTAGGTTCAGGGGGCCTGTAGAAGTACTAACATGTAGAGGATGATGAACTGTGTCTAATGACCTACAGAGGCATTCAACTAAATATGGATTATGCCCAAAGTACGTGAAACTTGTGCAGGTGAAAGTGGAAGTGCGGGGCCCTTACTGAGCGGGGGAGGCAACCTAGTGACAAGAGGATGCAGACAAGGCAGAAGTACTTAATGTCTTTTTCACTTTAGTCTTCACAGGTAAGGTCAGCTCCCAGACTATTGCACCTGGCAGTACAGGCTGGGGAGGAGGTAAGCAGCCCACAGTGGTGAAAGAACAGGTTAGGGACTGTTTAGAAAAGCTGAACATATACAAGTCCATGGGGTGGATGGGATGCACCCAGAGGGTGCTGAAGGAGTTGGCTGATGTGATTGCAGAGCCACTGGCCATCATCTTTGAAAATTCATGGCTACTAGGAGAGGTCCCATATGATTGGGAAAAGGGCAAACATAGTACCCATATTTGAGAGGGGAAAAAGGAGGACCCAGGGAACTACAGACCAGTCAGCCTCACCTCAGTCCCTGGAAAAATCATGGAGCAGAGCTTCAAGGAATCCATTTCTAAGCCCTTGGAGGAGAAGAAGGTGATAAGGAACAGGCAGCATGGATTCACCAGGGGCAAGTCATGCTTGACCAACCTGATTGCCTTCTATGATGAGATGAGTGGTTCTGTGGATGCGGGGAGACCGGTAGATGTGGTATACTTTGATTTTAGCAAGGCTTTTGACACAGTCCCCCAAGCATTCTTGCAGGCAAGCTAAAGAAGTATGAGCTGGATGAATGAATGGACTGTAGGGTGGGCAGAAAACTGGCTGGAGCATCAGGCTCAGAGGGTAATAATCAATGGCTCCATGTCCAGTTGGCAGCCATTCTCAAGTGGAGTGCCCCAGGGTTTGGTTCTGGGGCCTGTTTTGTTCAATTGCTTCATCAACGACTTGGAAGATGGCATAGAGTGCACTCTCAGGAAGTTTGCAGATCAGACCAAGCTGGGGGGAATAGTAGATATCCTGGAGGGTAGGGCGTGGATTCAGAGTGACCTAGACAAATTGGAGGCTTGGCCCACAAGAAATCTCATAAGGTTATACAAGGACAAGTACAAAGTCCTGCACTTAGGATGGACCAGTCCCATGCATCAGTACAGACTGGGGGATGACTGGCTGGGCAGCAGTTCTACAGAAAAGGACCTGGGGGCTACAGTGGACAATAAGATGAATATGAGCCAACGGTGTGCCCCTGTTGCCGAGAAGGCTAACAACATACTGGGCTGCATCGGTAGAATTGCCAGCAGGTCAAGAGAAGTGATTCTTCCTCTCTATTCTGCACTGGTGAGGCCACATCTGGAGTACTGCGTTCAGTTTTGGGCTCCCCCCTACAGAAAGGATGTGGACAAATTGGGGAGAGTCCAATGGAGGGCAACGGATATGGTTCAGGGGCTGGGACACATGACTTATGAGGAGAGGCTGAGGGAACTAGGCTTATTTAGTCTAGAAAAGAGAAGACTGAGAGGGGATTTAATAGCAGCCTTCAACTACTTGCAGTGGGGTTCAAAAGAGGATGGAGCTAGACTGTTTTAAGTGGTGGCAGGTGACAGAACAAGGAGCAATGGTCTCAAGTTGCAACAAGGGAAGTTTAGGTTAGATATTAGGAAGAATTTTCTCACTGGGAGAGTAGTAAAGCACTGGAACAGGTTACCCAGAGAGGTGGTGAGATCTCCATCCTTGGAGGTTTTTAAGACTCAGCTAGACAAAACCTTGTCTGGGATGATCTAGTTGGGGATGGTCCTACTTTGAGCAAGGGGTTGCACTAGATGACCTCCTGAGGTCCCTTCCAACCCTCATTTTCTATGATTCTATGATACCTAATACCAAATTACCTACAAGAAATCATTTTACATAGTACCCAAATGTCTCTTGTACTGAGAGTTGAAATGAGGGTGATACAGTAAAACTACTAAATTAAGGAAATCCAGAAATGCCAAAGTACCTGGCTGCTTCAGAAAATCTTTCTAAACATCTAAACACAGTTGCTTGACGAAGATGGTTCCGGAAATAGGCTGGGTTCAAAATAATGCTCCTGTGAAAGACAAAATAGATGGACAGGTTAATCTTAACCTATTACATTATTAAATGATCATTAATATCAAACTGAACAGTTTACAGCATAGACACTTTCTATATACCATTCAATACCTACACTCTATCCCCCCAAATGTGATAATAACATTATCACTTTCTCCCTCTTGACAACTAAGATAGATGAACAAACATTATTAAAATGTCTATTAAAGTTTTATCATAAATGCAATTTCATTTATAGCTTTGCCTAGTATTATAGAGACAGCTGTTAAAGTTCCTGTGAGCATATGTTATACTGCATTTAGCTAGCACGTAATATCTGCAGAGATACCACATATTATCATAGTACTCCCTTTGTTATCTATATCTCTGGGTCTGATGATTATCTCACAATATTACCTAATGGAACTATGTGCACAAAACTAACAATTGCAAAAGCCATTGGAAAAATTTCCAAAATTAAAGCAAGCTTATGTCCCACTCAAGACATTCTGTCTTAGTGGGTGTACAATCCTATTGCACAATCCTATTGAGTTCAGTAGCTGCAATGTCTTTTCTCAGGTATATCTAATTGCAGGATTGAGGTCCATATCATTAAGACAATTAATATACATTACACTATTAAACTAGAGAGGTTGTGTATTTTTCGGTTCCAAGCAAGGTATATAGAGTATGAACATATTTTTTTCTATTTCTGATTCTATTATCTCACTTGTGATATCTTAAATAAGTAACTAACTTGTGTGGATAACAGTTTTGCCACCCATATTATAGAGAAAAAAGTACATCTTTAAAATGCTCAGAGCTTTTTTGATGAAAGGTACCATATAATTGCAAGGTATATTATTATATATAAAAGAATAAAGCTGAAATGAAATGAGAGAAAGCAGCAAGAACACCTTTTTAACACTCTTATACAGAAAAGCTGTTACAATGCTTTTTATTTTACTATATTTCTTCAGGAAAATGATAACAAGAATTCACTGAGTAAATCTTTTGGACATCAAAGAAAGCATATTAAAAGTAGACTATAGGACCTACCATTTCAGCCCATGAATAAGCACAGAATTACTTCACTTTGTGGCCAAATCAATCCAAATTCAGTGATATTTGTAACTGCATTATATGAAGATATATATACACATATAGATGCTTATTACACACATATACACAGCTTTACATTTTATATACACACATTAACAAACAGACTGGGAGTTTCAAAGGACTTCAACATATTACACGCCTAACCAGGTTTGACTTTCCATGTAAATTCTGCACCTGTTTTTCCTGGTTCCCACTTAAAATCTTGGCTATAAAATTCTTGTTTTATATTAGACAAGAAAGCAGTTCAAAATTATTGTGCACTTATTGAGTCACATTTAACGTCTTGGTCCTTGTTCAAGGCCCAGAAATCTGAAAGCTGCTGGAAGTTCTAGGATGACAACTCCGCTCCACGGCCAGAAAGAAACTTGCTGACATTAGAGTAACCTTGTCTAGGTTTAAGACAAAGTAACCTTATCGAAGGCAAAGCTTTTGAGGACCAATCCAAGACTGTGGCATAAAATTCCACAGGAACTAAGGACCATCACAAACCTCAACACCTGCTGCTGTCAGTACTGGGTGTACCTCTTTCACTTGCCTTCTCTAACAAAGCAAGCTTGAATAGCTTAAAGTCCTTCTGCTCCCCAGAAATAACCCCATACTAAACCAAAACAATACATTCAACCACATATTCACTCTGGGGAGAGGGGATCAAACTACTCACTGTACTTACATTGCTTTATGCAATTCTACCATACTGTATCAGCTGATGTAAGTGACTTTTTGAAGGGGCTGGTGGATGTTATTAATGATAAACAGACACTGAACTTTGCAGATATTGTATCATATGCCACATTTTATAGCCACTTGACGGAGAGCTTAGAAATTCAAAAGATTGATGTACATCAAAAATTAGTTTAGTCAGAAAGAAATCCCAAGGACTTCAAATATTTTAAGCATTTAATGATCAGTCTGCCCAAGGCATTAACACTTTAACAAACTGGATGATAACTGGTACTACAACAAGAGATTTTAAAGGAGATTATTGCTGTTATAAACTGCAGTCAACAGTTGATAATAGCAATATCGATTTTTTCAAGTTATCGGCTCTACTAGAGCGAAGCAATAGAACTGGAAAAAAATCAATAATTTTCTGGTAGTTAGCAACACACTTTCTGCAAGTCTTAAAGCAGAATGTGCTCTCATAGGTTTAGAATAAATACAGAATTGTAGAAGAATCTCAAAGAATTGCATTTCAAGCATTTCTTTTTCCTCCTGACTCCTTTCTAATCTTAAGAAGATCAATTTCTCCTTTTTTATCTGTATACCCTACTCCAAAAAAATCCCATAGCATTCTCAAATACCTACAACAAATATCACATTCACTTGCTATGGACAGAGACCTGAACACAATAGCCTCTGACCGTTTGATCGTCCAGCTTAATGTTGTTGTTCCTCTGGAGGTATATGCTCTTTGAGTCATACTTGTGTCTCAGATTTACAGTAATATAGTAGATTACACTAAAACTTCCTATATATAGGTTACAAGTTAGCTATCTTGGGCAGAATAGCTATCATACATGCCATGGGATGAGACTAAAACTATATAACAGCACATTATCTGCAGATTCAACAAGCTACTTTTGGAGTAAAGCAATATGAGGAAAAAGGGTAAGGAAGGTTAAGAAACTACCTTCTAGAAAGTCATCCTAAAATGAGACCAGAAGGGAGGTCCATGTGGCTATGTGGGAATCTGCCAGAGTGTGGGCACCTCTCCAGGGCCCATCTTTACTTGCAGACAGTACACAAAATAGCTGTGTCGAAAGTTAGGAGGTCCCTGTGCACAGACAGGCCCTGAAAGAAAAACTGGAGAGTAGAGATCCAGCAGTGAAGAGCTACCAGTCATGAGAAGAAATAGAGACGTTGCCCCGTGGGGTCAGGCCAACGCTCAGGATCTCAATATCACGCTGTTAGACAGGAGGGCATGGTGCACAATTGTACATGCACACATATCACCAATTCAAGCACATATACACCCTAATGATAATGACATGAAATCATACACAATACACACACCTATACACACAGGTTAAACACTGACTCAGGTGACAGTGTGTGTGTGTGTGTGTGTGTGTGTGTGTGTTGGTGCCTGTGGTACCTATGCTTGGGGTGCTTGGTAACTAAAGAGCAAGTGGCAGAGATCAGGGGAAAAGGCAGTAGAGATAAGGCAATAGCAGTGGCAGAGATCAAGGGAAAAGGCAGTGGGAATGAGACAATAGCAGAAAAATAAGGGTTTGCAGGCAAAGAGGAGGAGCTCAGGACGGCTGGAGCCACAGGAGCATGGGACAGGTGTTAGAGGTGGTGGTGAGCCAGAAGCAGGAGAGGGAGAAATAAGACCGAAGTTAGAGGGGCAAGGGACAGAGATTGGAGCAAGGCTGAACTGTAGTAAAGCAAAACCCAACTTATGGGTCCAAATAACAGTTTTATTAAATGAACACTGTACTGTACTGTACAGCTTGGTTCCCACACACATTCACACAAGCACTCCCACACATACTCACACAATGGTAGCAGGAGAAAGAGACTCAGTGGAAGGGTTGGAGTCCAGGTAGGGAAGAGAAACAGAGTCCAAGTCCTTGGTTGAAGAGGGGGTGGGGGTGATAGCTACTTATCCAGGCTGGGAGGGGTTCCTTGATGGCCAGTCAGGGTCTTTCTCCAGCAGGTGTTGTCCAGAGGGGGTCGCTGACAGGGCCTCTGGGTTGGTAGGCAACGTGACGTGGAGCAGGTCTGGTCCAGGTGAAGATGGCACCCCAAGGAGTCGGTCTTCACTACCCCTTTTTATGGGGCAGACTACCTATGATCTCCTATGGGGAGGGTATGTCCAGGCAAGGTCGGCCTTGTTCCAGAGGGCTCCAGATGTTCATACTGAGCATGTGCAGCCTTGGCACAATGGTGGGTTGCCTCGTCTTTTGTTTCTTGAATGCTGAGGGTGGTTCCAATGGCTGGGTCGTTGGTCCAGGTATTGGGTTTGATGGTGGGGTGATTGAGTAGGGGGTCCTGCTGTCATTTGTGTTTCACTCATCCATACACTCTTTTGTTTCAGGCATTCAAGGAAAACCAATTTACATGGGAAAGGTTACAGAATTGCAACATACTTACACAACAGGGCATGGGGACAAGATGGGAACAAGATGGGAATGGATACTTGACATCACTTTACAGACACAGGCCTAAATCATATAAATCCAATATAAAACAGTAACAATTAATACAAAATAATAGGAACATAATGTAATACAATATAAAACAGTAAAAATCAATACAAACAGAACAGAACACTATTTACAATGTATAAAAAAGGGGACTTATTACAATAATAGTATACAAGAACTTAGCTTAGTTTACCTAGTACTACTTGTAATCATTTATAAGGGATAGAGAGGGCAGAGAGAAAGTCAGAAATGGTGGGGAAGGGGAAGGAATGCATTTTACAAATAAAAAACAAAAACTGGGGGTTTTGCTACAGAGACAAGGTCATGAAGAGCTTCTTTTGTGGGAACCTGTGGCATAGGTAGCAGTATCAGTCTCCACAAGATACAGAGCATCTCTTGAAGTTTTGCTTACATATTCATTTTTTGGGGTGTCAGACAGAGAAAGAAAAGCGAAACATAAGAAAGCAGCTAATGCATAATTGGTGCACAAAAAGTTTTAATCTGAAAAGAACAAGAAAAACACTACGGTGGAAGATTAAAACTTGTGTTCTTGCCAAGCCTTGCCCCCATCTGTCAAATGACTAGGCTAACGTAAACATGAAATAGATTTTCATTTATTTTTCATCTTCACTGTAATCCAAAGACTGCCCAGTAAGAGCCTTCGGTAAATCATTTGGTCAGTTTTTCTCAACAAAACAGTCTTTAAGTAATACAGTATATCAACCTGGTTTTTGACATTTTCATT